TTTGCAATCAGCCCCGAAGCAAATAAGCCTTTGGTGCCTATTTATAAAATCCAGTTTACATGATAACGCAGCAACTTGATTTAGTTCCTTTGAAGAGAGAAACTATGTCTTCTAAAAGACTGAAAGAGATGAGAAATAGTTTTCAAGGGTATTTGTCAATTTCTGTATTGTCTTTTTTTTTTTATCAAGACTTTTCATTACCCTGCTCAGTGGGGTGTGTAATACATTGCCTATCAGGGACTCTTATTGCTCTTTGTTAAATTAAGACTTGGAAGTGCAAAATTAAGCACATCCCTTCATGGTCCTATTACTGATAAATCCTTCTGAGGGCTCTAAGGTGTTTGTCATTCTGCCTTCATACACACAAGAACAATCAAAGCGGATGGCCAGGCAATCATGCACCCTCAACCCAGCGCCATGTCTCCTGTCCAGACCAGCTCTCTCATCTGCAGCGGGAAGCTTTCCACATGAAGTTCATTACATCCCCTCTTTGCTGCAATGCTCTTCAATGGTGCTCTTTGTCCCTCGTAATCTCTGGATCCTTCAGAACCACTAGCTTGAGTTTCACTTTGGGGAGTATCTCAATGAGTTTGGAAGGGATTTCAAAGGCGAGGGGGCCACTATATCATCCAAGCATGGTCCTCATGTCCTGGGCTTATCTTGACCCGGAGTCAAGTTGGCCGCATGCTGCAACTAAATAGGCCCTCTCCACATCCGCATGTTGTTTCAACTGAGTTGTCTCTGCCGATAAAGAGAAAACAGGAAGAGACATAGGTCTTTGCAAAGGGGATCCAATGTATTGTATTTATACCTTGGCTTTATTAAAGCTTTCTCTCCCTCAGAAAATTGAATCTATTTTACTAAGATTTTATGTGATGGATCATCACAAAGTGATGTTTAATTGTGAGGTAAAAAGAAAACCATTTCAGTTAAATAAAATTCCAAATAGAGTGGCACGCATTTCTATTTCCACCTTTCTGCAAAGTTTTGTTGCAGTTATAGTTGCAAGTCTTTTGTGGTGCATCTGTTTATCAATCATTCCTTCAGACTTTGGGATCTAAGTCTGGGCATTGACTGAAAGAAAAAAAAAAAAAAACCTGCACCCTACGTGTGTTTATGGTTGTTATGACCTCTGAAGATTAAAGGAATAGTACACCCAAAACATGATTAGCCTTCATTTTCTACTCACCTCCATGCTGAACAACACTCTGGAGTACTTTTTTGATATCTCAAATGCATCTGGAGATCTGGGAGGCTTCTTGCTGTCTGCTGACATTCAAATAATGGAGGTCCATGGCGCCCGAGACAGAAAGGTCCATAAAAGTCCACAAAAACGTGTCAATATTCCTCCATACTGCTCGTCCAATGTAATCCAAGTGTCCTGAGTGGGTAGCATCCAGAATTTACTCGAAACGAAGTCATTTAGAATGTTTTTAGAGCATAAACAGTAGTGTATAGGATTTCCTAATAGCGCCCCCATGCGCGCTCACGATTCTACGGAAGCCGGCAGACCAAACCGGAAGAAAGTGCGCATTCAGCGTCTGGTCTGCCGATAATGCAAGCGTAGAAGAAGAAATGTGCTGTTTACCTGTGCAAAGAAAGAAACAACGAAAGAAAAATGTCTGAGGACTTCAGTGTTGAGGAAGAGCATGAGTTCTTTGCCGAGCTGAATGCGCTGGTTTGGTCTGCCGGCTTCCGTAGAATCGTGAGCGCGCATGGGGGCGCTATTAGGAAATCCTATACACTACTGTTTATGCTCTAAAAACATTCTAAATGACTTCGTTTCGAGTAAATTCTGGATGCTACCCACTCAGGACACTTGGATTACATTGGACGAGCAGTATGGAGGAATATTGACACGTTTTTGTGGACTTTTATGGACCTTTCTGTCTCGGGCGCCATGGACCTCCATTATTTGAATGTCAGCAGACAGCAAGAAGCCTCCCAGATCTCCAGATGCATTTGAGATATCAAAAAAGTACTCCAGAGTGTTGTTCAGCATGGAGGTGAGTAGAAAATGAAGGCTAATCATGTTTTGGGTGTACTATTCCTTTAACCCCCATCCCCGTCTCTCTGCAATGTCTAATAATTTCCCTCTGGGAACAACCTGAATTCTTATATATATCTAAATAAATTACTAGAATCTTCTTACTAACTTAAAAAAAAATATCGCTGTTAACCTATTCACACAGTTGGGTCAGGAGCTGGGTCTATACTGATAATGACGATTTCACCTTGATATATTAGCGCAAATGTCTATGTGGCACGGATGTACAGTATATCTGGGGGCAAGAACAAATCAGTCAAACCTGTGTAGGCGTAGCGTGAAATTACCAGATTGAAAATGACGTTCTGACATGGATGCAGCTATAAAGCCTCCTAGTTTGCTTCAGGGAAAATCTATTTTAAAGAAGATTCACAATGGAAAACTCATCAAAACTAAAGCTCTTTGCACCTAGTGCAATGCAGAGTTGGTGTACTGCAGGAGTTCTTCCAGTCTCAAGTACCACTTAAAGGCAGGTAGGCTATGTTATGTGATTAAAAAATTTATTTTATCATGACACCATGAATGATTACCACATTATGTTTACTTCTTGATGACCGCTTGGGTGAATGAGGGTAAAGTGGGACGCTTCTTGAAAATGTCGCCTCTGTGGTATTTATTTAGCCTAGTTAATTTCTAGAGCTGGAGCTTCATACGATACATTTTTAAAAACCTTGGGATCTTCACATCACAAGAGACATTCTGAACACAGATTTTAGTATTATCCTAAAACGCTGTTGCTCCAAAGTTTGGCCCCAGAGTTGGTCTGCCTGAGTGACAGGTGGAAAAAGGAGAAATAGAGCTTGGACTAACTGACACAAAGCTACTAACTGTAAACAGTTCATCATTACCTATTATTTCTATAACACACATCTTATGGATTATTATTCTTATCACCAGTTATCATAAAGCTTCCTAAAACAGTTTTTGATGCATTTTGGAAACAGGAGATCAGCCCCTGGTCTAATGTGCCGCCTGTCTCAAGAAACCTGTTCAAAAACGTACTTTTAGTTAATATTTAAGCAGCACACACATATCAAAATCAGAAATACTTTAACAATCTCAGAGGGAAATTACTTTTGTTACACGCTCCAGATACAAACATTTATATATATATATATATATATACATACATACAACAAATTACACAAGAAATATAAATATATGCACAACTATATATGCATATGTATAACTATAAATCCAGATATCATGAATGTCTATGGCAGAATTCAAATGAGCAATTTTAATGTAGATTAATCTAAATTGATTCCAAGATTACAGTGAGATTAATCTATGTCTGTATAGAAATATCCCCACAGGATGATGCTGATAGAGATTTACAGGCTTCTTCATTGATTCTCTTATTGCCTGTCAATTTAGGTGGATGTCCTCATCCTGGTAGGTATTTTGTTCCATGTGATAACTTATTCAGATTTTTTTAAGACTGTGGTAAATTTTGTCATTTAGTAAGTGAGATTGGCTAATAAATTTATAAAAATGTCAAAAGAAAACAGATGCTATGTAAGATTTGCTTTCGGGGAAGTCTGTGTACATATAGAACAACCCAGGGCAGGTAGGCCGCGGAGTGACAGACATCCTAAAAACTTCCGTACTCCAAAAGATAAGCCTGCTATGCTCTTACAAGAAGGGAAGTGATCTGAGATATTAGTCTTTCAAAGTACGCCAGCAAAGCCAAGTGAGCTTCAATGATGTGCCGGCGACCAGTGGCTTTTAATCCTCACACAGCCTCCATTCTTGACGACCACTTTTCTTTTTTTTTTTCTATTTAATTAAGACCTTACCTGTCCACATCAAAAGGCTTTTCAGATTAGTCTTTTGATCTGAATAAGCTCTTTATTACTGTGTATGGAACATGTTTGGATTTCAGATGAACAAAGAATGATCTGTTGGATTCTTTCTTTTTTTTTTTTGCAAATGTAAATCATAACCTGCTCTGCTCTGCAAGGTTGGCACCAGCAAAAGGCAAAGAAGCAGCACTGATACACGAGATGTTTTCTTTACTGGCTGTAATATGTCGAGAAAAGGAGGAAAGGAAGCCGATGAGGGAGGCGATCGTTTTATGGGGGGGGCTTTAGCAGTATTGGAACTAAAACTGTAGAACAGTGGATCTTTACAGCATTTAATGCATACTGTATTTTACATAATAAAAAAAACAACAAAAAACCAAATCATGTAGTTTAAATTCTTTTATTTTAGTCTCCAAATAATAAAAAAAATACATACAAACAACAAAGGCAGACATAAAACCTTTAAAACAATTGCTTGTTTAAAAGCACATGAAATACTATAAAGGGGATAGACAAACTAAGGTGTTATCAAAGCTTACATTTACATTAGCTTGTGTTATAAAGTTACACAATAACGCCTATTTCGGCACCTAACTGAAAGGCGTGAATTAACATCATTGTTTTGATCCTCCCAATTATATTTCTTACTTCAAACAAAGAGAAATATTAAGCTTCTTTATGGTGAAAATATGATCCCATCACTGGCTTATTAAGTTTTGACCTTTTGCATCAAGTTAAGCAAAAAACAAATTTTAATTATGAAAGTGCTTAACATCCGCTTTAATACTGACAAGCAGGATGCACAAACAATTAGCTGGTGCTTAAAATCAGCTGATTTTCAGCCATATTGGTCAGAAACTTGTCCTGTGCTGATTGATTATTGCCTAACATGAAAGAGCTCCCTTCTTTGACTGGACAAGTCAAGCTGCTACTGAGGGAGGCAACCCCAAGCTAGTCCGAACCCATTGAGACTTTCTGGATTTATTTAGGCTGTAAGAGCGCAAGAGAGTGCAAGACTAAAAGCAGATAACAGGAAGGCTGAATGGAGTCCAGTGGATTTCCTCTTTGGAAATTACACCATCTTGTTGATATGGATTTGTAAATTTAGGCAGCCTTTTAAGCACATCAGTCAAGGTGAGTATTTCCCCCCCCCCAGCTTATTATTGTCATTACACTGTCATAAAAACAGAGCAACAAAATGAACTGGACTGGTTGTTAATCCAATTATTTCAATGATAATTTAAAATAAATCTAAAATAATACTAAAGTATGTAAACATTGTCTTTTTAAAATAATAAAACCATGTTCTAGAGTAACCAATCCATTATGATGAACTTCTCCACATGTTTTGTGGATCCAGAGAAGGTTTAAGATACATGAAGACATTGTGAGGATAGCTATGTGAGCTAATTGGGTTGATTATAAGGTCTATCTGGTCCTCATATAACTAAAGCAGGCGGCTTGGTCGTACTCTGAATTTAAAGTCTAGCTTATTCTCATTGCTGGTTGGACTCAAAAGATTCAAGTCATTGTTTGTAGACATAGTCTTTGAGAAATGGGAGTCCAGTTTGCTAATTCCTGTTTACTTTTCTTTGTTTTGTAGTTCCTGTGGTTTTCTAGGCATCCTCAGGCCATTATTTAAAATGTGCATTGGAGGAGTTTGCAGCAGAGTATTATCCAGGCAGATCGACTTCAGCTTCTAGATTTTTTTATTTAAAAGCAGGATTTACTGCTCTGCTTCAAGTGTGTTTAAGCAAATCAATGTCTTGTAGAAAGCAGGACCCACTCACTGAGGCTTCAATGTGACAAAGACTCTTCCCTTCAAACGATGAAGGGACCTCCTACTCTAGCAATGTGGCAACATAAGCCGACAACAGTGGAGGGAGGGATGCTCTATTATAAAGCCCCATTACGACACTCCAGGTTTGATTTCTACAACCAATAAAAAATTCATGATAGAAGGGGAAGAAGAGAAATCAGCATAGAACTGATCACTGATTTTTAAAATCAGTTTTATGTATCTAAAACTTCTTACTTCTTAAGGAGTAATCTCCATCTAGAAATTGTTAACAAAATTCTGATTCTGAAAATTGCTGCAATTGTCCCATTTTTTCACTTCCCACAGATACTTTTCCAATAAATTATCTGGCTTTTTCACTAACTAAGGGTATTTTTAGTCTAAAATCCCATACTTATGCATAGTTTAATTCCTAGAGACAGAGTATTGATGTTAAGCGGATAGGCAAGCTATTTTCTGCTCTTCTTTGATGCTGGTCATTTGGGCTTTAACAAGGCGTTGGAAACTACGGCTGAAATTCCATTTAGAGTTGATTCTACTTCAACTGCTGGAAAAGATGTTAACAATTATTAGGATCTTGACTCTTTCCTCCAAAAACTGAGTCAGACTGTTTTAAATAGTGATATTTAAATATTTAAGTTGACTTCAATGGTAACCATGACATGCTGCTGGCATGAGTTCTGGAGCTGAGGCAGTACATCACACAAGATCAATGAAAACTTGGCAGTAAGGGAAAAAAAAGACCTAAATTTAGGCTCATTGAAGAGGCAAGAACCCTTTTAGCATAAATGAACAAACAAGGCAAAAGGCAATAAATGTTCTTACTTGGCTGTAAAGCTTCCCAAGCTGTTATATTTACAGACTGACAAATAAAAAGGCCTGATTCGGGGGAATTTAATTCAAAAAGGCCGCTGTAAAAATGTCAAAAACTCCCCACTAACTCTTGACAGACACAAACCCTTTCAAAGTCACTTCTAGCATCAAAATTCCTGACATGTCAGTACCTGCATCAGGACGCTAAAAATTAAAAGGCAAATGAAAAAACTGTTAAAACAGAGGGACACAGTATGATTATAGTAAAAGAGAAATTTAATAATATGAAACACTGTTAAAAACCATTTACTCTTAGATAAGCTTGTGGGTGCATCCGAACTTAAATAACAGCCTTTCTATGTACACTGTGAGTCTAAAAAAAAAAAAAAAAAAAAATATGAAAAGGACAACGCTGAAGGAAAATATCAGCTCACACAACAGCAAACAGTTGTGACATGCAGCCATAATTGTTAGCTCACGCAGTGGAATTTGTTTCTCTCCTTCAAAACAACATTTATCTCTACTCCTCAAAAGAAACCCCTAAGAATCTAACACAGAAAATTATATTTTTAAAAGTTTGATTTAAAAAAAAGCAATATTAGTTGGTTATTGATGTAAAGAAGACAAATAAAGGAGAATGAGACATAAGAGTTAAAGTAAGGATTAAAAAAAAATCTGAAATTCTGATCTAAAGTCACTGATGTCACAGGGGCTAAAGGTGAAGGCATAAAAACGGTTACTGAAGGCGTCCGTCATTGTGAAAATGGTGCAGATGCAGGAATCCTCCATCAGATGAATTCCCCTCGGAAAGGAAGTGAGTGAATGTTCTGCTGCTGCCAGCGGCAGCGCAGCCTGGCCAGCGGTGTCTCCCTTGGGTCTTCGAACTCTGAGAAGCCCAGCTGGTTGAGGATGTCATAAACTCCGGCTCTGGCAGCAACCTATGCACAGGAGAAACAAAACAAAGCAAAAAGTAATGAAAAACAATTAGGAAAGCATTCTAATTTTACACAAAATGAAATGCAAACCACTAAAGAGCAAAAGTGTTCTCTTGGCTGTTTTCTCACATGTGCAGCTGTTACACTGAAACAATAGGCGACTGTAGTGAGCAGTAGAAAGGATGAGGCAGGAGGAGAATAAAGTCATTCACTTTATGAGAATTATAAGCACAGGTAGTGGGAAATGGGTCGGAAATCAGAATAGTTTCTGGTCAGTTCAAAACACAGGTGCTTAGTGACAGAAAATATACTATATATACTATATTTTCTAAGTTATGTATACTCTGTGAACATTTCAATATTATACCATAGAACCACAAATAAAATTTTATTATTTGAGATATTTTATTGAGCCCACAATACTCTGATACTCCTAAATAAAACCCAGTAAACAAACTCGATTCAAAGGACAGCTTATTTTATTCATCAGTGAAGAAAAAAACATAATTAAGAGCAACACATTACATTATAATGTTTAGAGCAGGATGAGATCGTGAGTAAATACCCTGCATTAAAAACGGCTTGGGGATATTTTCAGCTTATAATCCCAATATCTAAACAGTATGACACCCACCGCCGAGGCTTAAACTCTGCACCACGGTGAGGCATGGTGGTGGCATCATCATGCTGGGACGCTGATAAGAGTTGGTGGAAAGATCAATGCAGCCATATACAGGTTAATAATGGAAGAAAAAAACGTGAAGAGCAAAAAAAGGTTTACCTTTTGGAAGAAAAAATATCTTTAACAACTCATTCATATCTGAAAATAGCGCAAAGTCTACACCTAATCCTAAAAAAGAAGCCAGGCTTAAACACATTTATTCTCAGATACTCGATATTTAAATAGATTTTATTGCTTAGAATTTAAAGGATAGTCTTACAAGTTACACTTTATGCATTACTGTACATAGTGTGAGTGCGGATTCAGAAAAGAATCAAATGTAAACATTTAGGAGGTTACGGGGCTAAAATTCTACCTCTCTCTGTTAATTCCCCAGAAACACACAGAGAACGCATTAATATAGGTATCAAGTCCTAATCGCTTTTTTTTTTCTTCTAAAATATACTGAAACTGAATTATTTTCTTGCTCTGTCATAGGAAAGTGTTTTGGACATGTAAGTTGAAATAAAGGGTTAAAAACATAAGATATTTTTTAATGTTAACACAATACGCTCCAGATACAGGAACACAGTCATAGGTCGACCGTTCTTTTCATGTTACCATAACGGAACAAAAAGAGGAGTTATGGTGGCAAAGATATTCCTTTTGCTATCAATGATTATAGCTTAGCTTTCCAGCTTTGTGTAGAAACTGCAAAGTGGAGTTTGAAATGTCTACTTGCTGACAGTGCAGAGTCAGTTTCACAATTGATCATGAAGGATGACTGGAGCAATTTGGATAAGCTTAAAAAACTTTATGGGATGAATAATATAAATGAAAAATCTTCCAATACTCTCCCCCCATCTTTAAAGCAGCTGTTTTTAAGTCAATAATCCTTTTTTTTTGTCATCACATCTACACTTATGTCTGATGTGTTTCTGGAAAGCTTACATGCTGTTAAAAAAGCTTTTTTGATGACTTGGTGCAGCTGAACTATTAGTCAGTGGAAGTGCCTCCTCGGAGACGTCTTGGATTTAGCTTTTAACCAAAGCAACCTGACTCATCCACTCCACATCCTGGCTGTCTAAATAATGGATGTGTGAACAATTTGAAATGTGTGAATGTATGTGTGTGTGTTTTGGTTAGGAGGGATTGAGTCAAGAATTAGGAAAAAAAGAGAGAATCCGGGAACAATGGTTACATGCATTCCCTGGAGAATCTGCGCCGAGTGCGTTGACATCCCCGTCTCGACTCCTCGGAGGGATTGTTGAAACACATCTCAGTGTGGGGGGGGGGAAAAAATATTTACATCCTTAGTATAAGATAAGCAATCCTGAAGGGGTTACTCTGTCATAGAAAATAACTGCTTGTCAGTTTCATCAAATATTTCACCAAAAAATAAAAATAAATAAAATGCCAACAAAGCAAATAAGACTAGAATAAAAATAGACAGTGCTGACTTAAAAAGTCTAGCTGTTTCACATTTTGGTGTCCTAAAATATGTCAATGTTTCTTCATGGGAAATTGTTTTTAGCCCTTTTTACTGTGTTACCTACAGAAGCAGAAAATTGTTTTGTTTTTCTGAATTAACAAGATTATTTTTACAAAGATAAATAAAAATTTTGTTTTTCCTGATTTAACGAGTTTATCCTGCTGTGATGTCACAAATGGCTTTGAAGATTTCTAAGCAAGAGACGCATTTCTTTCAGAGAAGCTTCAACACATCCCGTTTGTTTAGTTCAGTTAATTTTTACTTTCTTTTTAGATTGAGACTCTGATAAATTATCTTCTTAGTTATGTAGATACAAGTTTGTCGACTTTGCCAAGACATCTACACATCAGAAAGACAGAGCAATTTATTTTTTCAGGTCAAAACAATACAATGCAATTAGGGAAGTGGCAGCCTAGTGGTAAGAGCAAAGAGCTTGGAATCCTGAGGTTGTGAGCTCAAAACCCACTGCCACTCTTGGTCTCTGAGCAAGATATGTTTCTCCCTGGGTGCCCCACAATGGCAGCCCACTGCTACCCAAGGGGATGGGTTAAATGCAGAGGTAAATTTCTCCAATGTGAGATCAATAAAGTATTTTCTTTGCATATCTAAATTCCTGTCTGGTTTTTAGAATCTTAATTTGTCAAAGATAGAACCATGTGTTGGGGAATTTAGGAAAACATAGTGGAAGAAGGTCCTCTGCTCAAATGAAATGAATACCACAGGAAAGTGAAGCATTTGAATTTTACTTTTAGCAGAAATCAATCACTGCACATGACTTTTCAGCAGTAAAAAGCAGTGATGGCAACATTGCCTGCTCTTCTAAGGACTGTAGCTGGTTTAAAAGTGTAAGGTTGCTATTTATTTCAACATAAGATGCATTGTTCAAAGCTTTGGCTTTTTTTCCATTGTCAGTAGTACAACCACTGAGAAATTTATTAGAATAGTCCCACAATGGGGAAATTGTGGTGTTTACAACAGCAAAAAGATTATAGAAAAAATGGTCAAACGAATGTGGACCTTACAAAAAAATTTATAAAGAATAACATAGAAGTGAAGAGTTAAAAAACAAACAAAATGCTGTACTGTAAAGTGTTTTAACAATATGAAACTGTGCACCTGGAGAATAACCAGTACACAGCTAAGAAATTTTTTACAATAATGGATATTTGACAATAGCAGCAACATCAGATATGTGCAAAATGACAGCAGCATGTTATTCAACTGACTAAGGTAGAAACTGTGCAAAAGCAGCATGAATGTAACGACTTATTGAGGTTGTTGGGAACAGTGGTGGTTATAGAGTCTTACCGCTGCTAGGAGGAAGGATCTGTGATAATGCTCCCTGCTGCATTCAGAGAGCAACAGTCTGTCACTTAAGGAGCTCTGCAGTTCTGCCACAGCTTCATGCATGGGGTGGGAAACATTATCCAACAGAGATGGTAATTTAGTTAGGATACTTTTGTTTTCCATCTCCTGCACTGAGTCCAGTGGGAGAATTCAATCATAGAGCTGGCCTTCCTCATCAGCTTATCCAGCCACTTTCTCTCAGCTACAGATAAGCTACTGCTCCAACAGACAACTCCATAGAAGAATGCTGATGCCACAACAGAGTAATTGAAGCTCTTTCAACAAAATAAAGTCTAAATGCACATAGAAGAGCTCCACCATAGCACTGAGTCTGAAGTGGACGCACACATAAGCAAAAAGTGAATGAATGTAAATGGAAATTGAAAACTTTAAGCCGGTGAATAACAAGGAGCACAAAGCAATAACTAAGTGGTTAGAACGCCTTGGTCTGAAAGTGATCAGTTGGTTGCTTCCTTGTTTGCACTTAATTCATGTTAATTTATTTCATTTTTAAATGTGAACAGCATCCAAGATAAGCCAAAGCACAAACAGCTTTGGCTTATTTAGACTTTTTTGTACTTTTAAACAACTTTTTAAGACTGTGCCTTTAAAAAGTCAAGAAATTATCAATGATAAATTCCAATAAGATGTAATTAAATACTCATATTATCAAATTTCCTGCCTGCTTTTAGTAGAGGGCTGCCCTTGAGGCGCTTACAGTAACCCTGCTATGGATGCACCAAAGAAGAAATCTTGTTTACAAACTGGAAAATTCACAATTACACATCACGACTTACAAGAACAAAATATATCTGAGTGGAATTTGTGACCATAATATCTTCCAAAAGACAATTTCACTCTATGGATGAGATATCGATTTCCAGACAACTATAGGTGTGCCCTATTACGTTAGCTTTCATTACTGCATCATATGTGTTAAAGGAATACATTTTTTTTTTTTTTATAGTTGTGTAGTTTTAATATTTTCTCAGAGTTCTGCTCATTTGTAATGTATAAATATGAGGAAAGTTCATGTAGAGTTCATTTGTTAATAGTAGCTAAGACATAAGGCAGATCTGTTTGAAAGATGTCTCATAATACAAAGCAAAAATGGCTAAAGCCAATTCTTATTATCCTGGGCATGTAGTGTTGGACTGATGAAAGTGGAGGTAGGGAGGCAACAGTCAGGTCTTTCCCACACTCAGCAATCTGAAATGCGGCACATACCAAGTCTGTGTAGGGGGACAGTAAAGCCTCTGTAGCACACATCAAAACAGCTGGATTGACCTGCAGGCATCTTAGGTATGCACTGTACACAAGTCATGTTATTGTGCTAAAGCCAAAATGATGGATTAGCAAACATCTATAACTCTTCTGATAATGTTTTCCTCAGATCCTACAATTAGGGTCCAATTACAGAGTATAGTAATCTTATGTGTGTAAACGATGAGCCAAGAGGTGCTAATTATAAATGTAATGATTGTTTTAATTACCTATTTTCCC